ATTGGACCACATCCCCAAAATAGACCCTTTTTCTCCAACGTCGTCTGGAGGAACGAGCTGTTGTAATATATGCAAACCCCTTCCTACAATGAACGTGCCCCATCCTGTTGGTCCACAAAGGAATGACTTCTGTTCTGAGCAAGCTCTTCTCTGAAGTCTTAAACTCTCACCACATATGCAGCTAAGCTGGGAGCCCGTTGGATCTCCCTCTGACAGTAAAAACAGGACTGTTCTGTTAGCTCCACACCTCCAGTGGGCTTTCTCATTGATCCCAACCGTACCTGTTGAGCTTGGCTGCCCAAAGCAGACGACACTATCAGGATGATTCTCCCAATCATCACACAGAAAGATGAGTATTTCCACTACTGCATTACAGTTCTTGGAATGAAATAACTTCCCACCAACTCCCAGCTGCTAGCCCTTTCTCCCTCTCTGCTTGGCACTCAAACAAGTCTACTGCCACCCACATATGTCAAATAGAAAGATCAGTACCATCTGCCCCCATCACTAATGGTCAAATGCTTCCGGTGAAGCCCTAACCGGTTTGGCTCAGTGGATAGAGCATTGGCCTGCGGACTGAAAGGTCCCGGGTTCAATTCCAGTTGGGGGCGATGTTTCTAACTCTCCCTCTCCCTTCCTCTCTGTAAAAAAAAAAAAAAAAAATCAATAAAATATATTTTTTAAAAATCATTCCAGTGTAAGCCACCTTTTAAAAAAAAAGATTCGGCCGAAACCGGTTTGGCTCAGTGGATAGAGTGTCGGCCTGTGGACTGAAAGGTCCCGGGTTCGATTCTGGTCAAGGGCACATCCCCAGTAAGAGGTGTGCAGGAGGCAGCTGATCAATATTTCTTTGTTATCGATGTTTCTAACTCTCTATCCCTCTCCCTTCCTCTCTGTAAAAAATCAATAAAATATATTTTAAAAATAAAAATAAATAAAAAAGGATTTGTCCGCTCCTCTCCAGGAAATACAGGCTCCCCCAGAAGACAGGCGCTCCCGGTACTTCCCCTCGAGGCACTTTCACGGAGCTCTTTCTACCACAGGCTCTTCCATCCTCCAAAAGTGCTTTCCCCCACTTTGAATGAAGGGAACTATTCCCTGCTCATCCGGGTGTCTTTCTCAGCCGTCTACCCTCGTCCACTCCCTCTACCCTCTCCTACAGCATCTCCTACCTGGCTGGGCCCACACCTTCCAGCACACGGTAACCCAGGGGATGCTGGGGGTTGTAGTTCTGTCGCCCCGTAGCCTAAGGGTGGGTGGGGCATAGGGCTTCCTGGGCGAGAGGGGCTGAGCGTACCTGGGCATCCTGGTAGCCCTGGAGCAGCAGGAAGTAGGGCCGGTTGCTGGGGGCCTGGATGAGGCACTGGGTCAGCTGGTCGAAGTCGCTGGGGTCGGTGGGCACGATCTGGGCGTCGGCCGCCCCCGGGGCCATGCTGAGCGCCTGCTGCCTGCGCTCCTGCTGCCGCCGCCGCCGGCCCTGCAGGCTGAGCTCGGACACGCTGCGCCGCAGAGAGAGGTTTTCCGAGCGCTCCTTGCCCGGCCCGGCCGGGGTCCCCGACCCGGACCCGGGGCCCGGGCTGGCCAGGGCCGCCCCGCCGGACGCCGCCCGGGAGCGGTTCTTCTGTGGCCTCCACAAGGCGGGGCCTGAGCCTGCGGGGAGAGATGGGGCCAGCAATGAGGCTGGAACTGGAAAAGGACCCGGAGAGACCGACTCAGAAATCTCAGAAATCGGGCGGTTATCGAGGGACAAAGAGTTGGCTCCGGAGAGATGGGGCTGTCCATGCTGGCCCCTGTGCCTGGAAATATGTATTTTTCTGCCTGGCTCCTATCCATCCCCATCTTTAAGTCAGAAATTCATTCATTCAATGTATGTGCTGGGCTCTGTTCTGGACACGAGGGACTTTGCAGTGAGCAGAGAAGACCCTGCCCTGTGGAAACACAACGCCAAGCTGACATGCCAAGCTGAAGCAGAGAATGGCACCCTGGGCACACCCAGCACGGCCCTGGCATACAGTAGGCGCCTAGCGGATGAGGTGAGGTGAGCCGGTGAACTGCTGTGTTTCTCACTGGGCTGTGCAATCCAGGAGGGTGGGAACGTCACCGGCCAATGTCCCCATTGTGTTCTCCCAGGGTCCTTAGCGTGTGGCCCAGAGTAGGTGCCCAATGAATGCTTTATGAAGAATAATTTAAAAAAAAAGAAAAAAGACAATGATGGCCCAGCCGGTGTGGCTCAGCGGTTGAGCATCAACTCAGGAACCAAGAAGTCACCGGTTCGATTCCCAGGCAAGGCACATGCCCGGTTTCAGGCTCGATCCCTAGTAGGGGGCATGCAGGAGGCAGCCATGATGTTCCTGTCTCTCTATCCCTCTCCTTTCCTCTCGCTCCACACTTGCTACTTCACCAACGGCACACCTCCAGTTCCAGGCCCCATCTTCTCGGTCTCCTACCCTCAAGCCACCAACTCCAAGGCCCGCCCCTCTGAGGCTCCGCCCACTCTCAGGCTTTGATCGGGCCGCCCATTTCTCCTCGCTCCAGGTCCCACCCCTTCTAGTCCCCATCCGCCGAAGGCTGCCTGCCCCCAGGAACTACTGCTCTGAGAGGCCTCCTGTCTCGGGAACCCAGGCCGCTCACCCGCCCGCCCAGCACCTCCAGCTCCAAGCTCCTCTATTCTGCAGGCCCCGCCCCGGCCCTGTGGGCGCTGCACTTCTCCCCAGGGCTCTGGCCTGGCACCTCTGGCTGACCCGGGTCCGAACCCACCTTTCCTCCTCTTGACCCAGTGCTCTAGGTCTCGCCCAGTCCCTTTCCAGGGGCTTCGCTTCCAGCCCTGCAGGCCGCCCATCGCTGGCCCCGCCTCCAAGCCCGTCCCGTCCCTCCGCCTGGCCCCGCCCCCAAGCTCGGCCCCTCCCTCCGCCTGGCCCCGCCCCTGGGTCAACTCCAGCCCCTTCCCGCAGGCCCCGACCCCAAGCCCGGCCCATCCCTCTGTCTGGCCCCGCCCCCAAACCGGCCCATCCCTCCGCCTGGCCCCGCCCCTGAGTCAGCTCCAGCCTGGCCCCGCCCCGAGGCCCCGCCCAAGGCCCCGCCCTGGATCAGCTCCTGCCCCAGGCCCCGCCCCAGGCCCCGCCCCCAGGCCCGGGGCCGCCTCACCTTCGCCGTCGGAGGCCCCGTAGGCCTCCTGCTCCAGGCGGCGAGCTTCCTCGCGGCCGCGCAGCTCGAAGCGCCGCGCCCAGCCGGGCCGCGCCCGCCACAGCTCCTGCACCAGCAGCGGCCGCTCCGCGTCGCCCAGGACGCGCAGGTGCTCCGCGCGCCACTCGCCGTTGCCCAGGCCGCCCGCCGCGGGCCGGCCCAGCGCGTCGCACAGCGCGAAGGCGTCCACGCAGCTGCTGTCGCCGGGGCCGCCGCCGGGGCTGCCGGCCAGCCCATAGCGCTCCAGCGCCTCGGCCACCAGCTCGCGGGCCGTGGAGCGCGCCGTGGCCAGCACGCTCTTGTAGTTGGCGCCCGACGCCAGCCCCGCGCCGAAGATCTTGAGGACGCCCGGGGGCGCGGCCGGGCGGGTGGCCAGCGGGGGCTCGGGCGCCACGCCCGCCGCCAGATCCGGCAGCTTCTTCTCGCTGGCCCAGCGCTGCGCGCTGCCCGGGGTCCCCGGACCCCCCGCGACGCCGGATCCCGCGACCCCGGCCCCCGAGCCCCGGAAGAGCTGGGAGATGCGCTTGGCGCGGCTCCCCGAGGCTCCGCCGGCCGCCTTCACCGCGCCCACCCGCCGCAGCTCCACGTGCGGCGGCGGCGGGGGCAGCGGCTCGCTGCTGCGGCTCCCCGTGTCTGAAGAGGAGGACCTGGGAGCCCGCCGGGGAGCGGAGAGGCGGGGGAGCGGAGGGAGGGAGGCGGACAAAGACCCAGGTTGGGGGGGAGGGGGGCAGAGGCCCAGAGACGGGTGACAGAGACCCATGGAGACGGGACAGGGACGGACAGAAAGGGGCGAAGCGTAGAGCGAATGGAGGTAAGAGGTGGGCAGAAGCCAGAGACAAGGAAAGAGATGAAATAAATCAATAAATAAGAGATTAAATAAATCAATAAGATCCCGAAGGGGGGTCTCAAAAGGCGATCAGGGAAAGAAGGGAATCCAATCCATCTCCTCCGGGTCCCCACTCTGTGTCCACGCCCAGCACTTCCCCCGCCCGGGCCCTGGGGCCCACTGCGCCCTCCCCACCGCAGCCCATTCAGAGGCCCCTGGCACTGCCAGGGCAGGGCCTGGGTGGTGGACAAGGGCAGGCCGGAGGCCCTCGGGGCAGAGGCAGGAGTCCCGGGAGGAGGGCACTCACTTGACAGAGGCTGCGCTGGGCCAGCGCCGCCCCAGCTTGGCCAGCTGCTTCCGGGGGTAATTGATCCAAAGGCCCACGGGGAGATGCAGCTTCCCGAAGCGGGGGCTCCCGCCCTCCTTCCGCTCACCAGAAAGCATGGCCCTGCGGGAGGGTGGGCAAGGCCCGGCTTCTGAGGCTTGGAGTCCGCGGGGAACGGGCTGCTGGAGGGGACCTGGACTTGGGTCAGAGCCTGGAGGGGGCTGGGGCCCAGTCTCCTGAGTCTGGGTGGAGGGACGGGACGGCAGCCTGGCCTCCTGGGTGTGGGGCGGGAAGTGGCCGAGGACCGGGCCCTGGGTCTGAGGGAGGAGGGATCTGGACTCCTGGGTTCCGGGCTCTTACCCTGCTTCGGGGTCCCGGCAGCACCCCGGAGGGCCCTGGCTCCGTAGGCCTGGGTCTGTTCCCGACCCCACGGCTCCCGTCCAGCCTCCTCTGCCCCGGCTCCCAGCACTGGGTGGGGGACAGGAAAAGGCGAGAGGAAACCGGGCAGGAAGAGCGGGGAGGGGGCGTCCTGTGAGGGACCGGGCCTGGAGGAGGAGACCTGGGCAGCCCTGGCTCTGCCCCGCGCCTTCGGCCCGGGGCACGCTGCAGCCCTTGGGCCCTGCCAGGACCCCCGGGCCCAGCTCCAGCCCCCCCTCCCTCAGATAGGAGGCTTGTCCCCAGACCTCTGCTCTCCGGGGGGAAACCAAGAGCTGAGATCGGCATGCACGGGTGCGTCAGACACTTAAAACAATCAAATAAATCTTTTATTTGCTCCTGGATTTCTTGGCCTTTTTCTCTGGAGCGTCGGGGATCTGAGCCGCCTCCGGGGCAGTGCTGAGCCAGGTCTTGATGGAGTCGATGAAGTAGCCAGGACTCTTCTCAGACCAATAGCAGAGCATCCTGGGAGACAGCGGGGGTGCAAACAGCCGGACGGGGCTCAGATCCCAGCCTCCTCCGCGCAGGGATCTGATCTTATTCTAGCAACGACCCCAGCGTCTTCTCCCTCGCGGTCTGTTACATGCCCCCGCCCTCCGCCCCCCTTCGCAGTTCAGCTCCAGGGCCCCCCGGCTCCCACAGCCCCCGCTGCACTGGAAGTCCCTCCCCCCCACTCCGTAACCCTCACTTCCTCGGAGGCTGCTCACAAGATGACGATGCTGGCTATCAGCACCACAAAGCCCCAGATCAGCAGCCCGACCAGGAGGCTCCTCAGCATGCTCTCCACCGTGGGGGCGGGCGCCGCGGAGGGCGGCGGCGGCGGCCGGGGGGTCGTGGACGACCTGTTGGGAGCCCACGTCACCTCGTCCAGGGCCACGTCCAGGTCCTCCGGTTTGGGGGCGACGGTGGACGGTGTCTCTTCCTCTACCCTTGGGGGCAACACTGATCGAGGAGGAGAAAGGTGGATAAGGTGACCAGACGCCGTCCGCATTGGGCAGGACAGTCCCGATCGATTTTTTAAATATATATATATTTTATTGATTTTTTAAAAAATATATTTTTATTGATTTTTCACAGAGAGGAAGAGAGAGGGACAGAGAGCTAGAAACATGGACGAGAGAGAATCATCGATCAGCTGCCTCTTGCACACCCCCTACTGGGGATGTGCCCTCAACCCAGGTACATGCCCTTGCCTGGAATCGAACCCGGGACCTTTCAGTCCGCAGGCCGACGCTCTATCCACTGAGCCAAACCGGTCCCGGCTATTTTACTGATTTTTTTTTACCGAGAGAAAGTGAGAGGGATAGATAGCTAAAAACATCAACGAGAGAGAAACATCGATCAGCTGCCTCTTGCAGGCCCCCACCTGGGGATGTGCCCGCAACCCAGGTACATGCCCCTGACCAGAACCGAACCCGGGACCCCCCAGTCCACAGGCTGATGCTCTATCCACTGAGCCAAACCAGTTTTGGCAATAAAATACATTTTTTTTAAAGAAAAAAAGAAGGAAAGAAAGGAGTAATCCTGGGAAGGCACGAAGGAGGTCCCAGCACAGTCAAGGCGAGCCCTCCCTGCCCCCTCACCACCCCCCAGCCCCAGCAGGGGGTAATCACCGTGCCTCCCGCCCACCCCGAAGGAAACCCTGCCTACGTGGCCGGCCCCACACTCGGGGCAGGAAGTGACTCTCTCCTGGCCCAAGTCCACACGGCGGCAGGAAGTCATTCCCCCACACGCAGCCCTGAAGCTCACAGCCCCAGGCCCGAGTCCCACACGCCCGGCGCTGACCTCTGACTTGATAATGGATGATGGTGGCCGGGAGGTCATTCACGGTGTTCAGCTGGCAGCGGTAGGCGCCCGCGTCCGAGGCCTTCACGTTGGGCTTGGTCAGGGTGGGCGCCGTCCCCTTGTACACCAAACTCTCCGTTTTGTTCTTCCAAACCTAGACCCAAGCTCAAGGGGTCACAGAGGCCTGGGGAGTTCGGGGGGAGGGGGGAGTCCGGGGGTGAGAAGGTGACGGGTCTCAGCGGGGGGAGATGGGAGTCCTGGGTTACTGGTCAGGGTCTAAGGGTCCCGAAGGACAGGACGAGGTCATTGGCAGCCAAACCTAGCAGGTCGTGGGGTCATGGGGATCGTGAGACGGGGTTCCCACGGGCCTGGTGGCCCTGGAAGTTCAAGGGTGCAGGGTTGGAGGGCCCCACCCTGAAAAAGCTGTAGTCAGTCAGGCCTTCGGAGATGTGATGCCAATTGAGCTCACAGTCCAGGATCATGTCTTCCGTTTCATGGACCTTGACTTTGCGCTCTGGGGAGAGGGGGTTACGGTGGGGTGCTGCTTCCTTTGTGGGCTCTGGGCCTTCCCCCCAACTCCCATCCGCCTGGCCAGCCCGGCCTTTTGTCCTCGGCTGCCTGTGGTCTTGGCCTTCTCTGGACTCAGTCACCGCCTCTGGCTCCGCCCCCTGGGCGCCAACCCCTCCTCTGGGGCCCTGCTCTCGCACCCCCGCAGTCCGCTTTCTTCCGACAGGCGTGAAGCTTCTTCTCGCAGGTGGAGCACCAGATCATGGACTGCAACATCATGCCTGCAGGAGCCAGGGTCAAGGTCAAGACCGTCTCTCCCCACTGAGAGGCGGGGCTTGAAGGAGAGGGCCAGGGCAGCCACGGGCAGGGCAGGGCAGGGCAGGGCAGGGCAGGGCAGGGCTCCAGCGCAGCTCGGTAGCAAGCCCAGATCTAACCAGGCTCCGGAGAAAGTGCTCCCCCAGAAGGAAAGCTGGAGACCCGGAACCTCGCAGGCAGGCCCGGAGAAGAGATGCCGAGAGAGACCCAGCAGGGGTGGGAGAAAGGCTGGGCAGTCGCCGTAGGGAGGAGGGGAAGAGGGCCAGCTCCCATCGTCCGCACTCACCACATTTGTTGGGACAGAGGACTGCCTCGAAAGAAGAGAAAGACAATCGTGTTGTTAAGTTAAAGGGGACGAGAGAGGGGGCAAGGGGCGGGGGGGGGGGGCTCCCAGCTTTGTGGGAGGAAGGACTGGGTGCCTGAACCCCTGGGTCTGAGGGAGGAGGGTGGGGAGAGCTGAGGGACCAGACTTGAAGAAGCAAGGGCTGGGGACAAGGACGCGGACTGTGCACGGAGAGGTGGGGGCCAGGACCCCCATCTTCCCTCACCATCTTGTTGGAACACAGAAACGTGTCTGGACAAGATCTCCTTTTCGTTTTTCAGCATCCAGAACAGCTCCTTCACGAAGAGCTCACCTGGGAAGAAGCGGGAAGAAGCAGGCGGTCCCCTCCCCGCCTCCGGGTGTGAGTGAGGTGCAGGCAGTGTGCCTGTGTCTTCTGCAGACAGAGCCTGGTGCTCTGCTTTTCGGCTTCCCCGGGAAGAACAGTGAAACTGAGTGGCCACTCAACCTACTGGCTAAGCAACAACTGGGACGAGAGAGCACTGGTGTGGGGTCCATTTTAGGGTGACGGTCCTGCAATGCCACACAGCCTGCAAGTGGCAGAGCCAGGAACTGAACCTAGGCAGTCTGGTTCCACAGACCAGTGCCTAACCTGGCATCGCCATCCATCACTTCCCTGGAGCCCCTCCCCTGGCTCCTCCTTGTATTTACCTTTTACGTCACTGTCCATGATGCGTTTCAGTTGCTTCAGAAAACTCATGGTTCCCTTTTCCAGTGTGGAATCATCTATGTGTGGGGGGGGCCGGAGGGGGTGGGGGGGAGGGGAGGACAGAACCTCATATTCCAATGGGTCACCTAGTTTTAGAAACTACAATACCCATGGGGCCACTGGGCAAGGATAGGGCTGGTTAGGGGGATTATCCGCCTGTTGCTTTCTGGGAATTGTAGTTTGGTTGCATAAAATTTCTAGCCCCGGGGAAACCCTCTAAAATCTGTCCCCAAGCCCAGAAGACTGTCTCCAGCCCTCTCACCCCTGCGCCCCAGCAACCCGAGTCCCAGATCCCTCCTTTCCCAGGACCCAGGAGTCCCGGCTCTGCCTGGCCCTCACCAATGACCCCCAAAAAGCTCTCATCCTCAAGCTGCAGGTTCTCGAACTCCTTCATGCCATTCGATAGCTTTTCAATCAAGTCTTTGTGATACTGAGCGTCCAGGTGATCAGGCAGGTAATCCGTCTCCATCTTTTTTAGCGCATCCACGACCCTTTTATCACATATGAGACAACCGAGGGCAGGAAGCAGGCAGCTGCCCAGCGCGGCCACCAGGAGGGGAAACCGCGGCCCCATTGGAGGTCAGAGCGTCCAACCCACGCCGGCCTCCGGGAAAAGTCCTCTCTCTCCCGGAGGAGGAGGTGAGCCCTCAACGAGACTAATGGACCCCACCCCACCCCCAATCTGCAGGACGCACACTTCTCGTTAGGAAAAGGAGGAGTCCCGATGCACCCTCATCAGCCACGGCCCGGATCTGGACTCGAGTCTTGTGCTCTCAAAACACTAAGGTTCGCTGAAGAGCCGACTCCAGGTTCCGAGGGCTTTGAGAGAGGAGGACCTTCCTTCCACTCTAATATTTTCCCATTACTACAGCTAAAGAGTTTGTTAGGGGCGAGGGTGAGGTTGGTTGCGTGGCATAGAGAGCATTTGACACGGTTCGCCCCTATCCGCAAGGTACTCCCCCGCCCCCCACACACCCAGCCTCCGTCTTCTAACTTCCTATTTGGAGCCCCGAACTCCCAAGGGACAACACTCCGGGGGGCTTCCCTGGCCCCGCCCAGAAGCCACACGCCGAATCTGATTGGACCGCAACAAAGGGAGTCCCCGCCCATCGCGCTTTGACGTCACAGAGGCGGCCGCCTTTGAGACCGGAACTTCCCCAGCATTTATCGAAGAAGGTACCCCTTGGGCTCTGGCATTCCAGACACGAGGAAAGGAATCCCGGCCTCAGCTCCCTCCCCATCCCGGGCCCCAGGAAAACCCAAGCTCCCGACCAGATGCCCAAGACCCCGGCGTCGACCTGGGAGGACGCGAGAAGCGGCCCTTCCCAGCCCTAGGAATAGAACTCCCAGAAGGCCCCTGGTCTCTCTCTCCAGAGCGCCGCAGCCGACCCCCGTAGCATTATGGGGAATGTAGTTCAGGAATTATACGCCGCGCTCACTTCCTCCTCCACCTTCGCTCCCAGCCTCTGGGGCTTGAATGCCAAGGTCCCGGAGGAAAGTGAGGTCTGGGGGCCAGTGTGGCGAGGTGAGAATGGAATTGGGGCTCAGAGACCACAAGTCTGACAACAAGAGGCTGCCAGATCTGAGCAGGGAGGATAGCCATGAGAGTCCCTGGAAGGTCAGCACTTTTCCTCCTAACACACACACACACACACACACACACACACACGATTCAAAAACAAAAAAATTACAGAGTCAGAGTTTGGTGATGTGGACTTTTATTTTTATTTTTTAAAATATATTTTATTGATTTTTTACAGAGAGGAAGGGAGAGAAATAGAGAGCCAGAAACGTCGATGAGAGAGAAACATCGACCAGCCGCCTCCTGCAAACCCCTCACCGGGGATGTGCCCGCAACCAACGCACATGCCCTTGACCGGAATCAAACCCGGGAGCTTTCAGTCCGCCGACCGACGCTCCACCACTGAGCCAAACCAGTTTCGGTGGTGATGTGGACTTTTAATTCATACCTCCCTCTCCCACCTATGGCAGCTGAGTAGAGAATAGTCCCCCCCCCAAAAAAAAAAAAAAAAATTCCATGAGAAGACTAGAAACCAGTCTGTAATAAAAGTGTCCCCTTCAAAAAGCACCGAGGGGTCCTGAAACCTGAGTCAAGAATCCGGTCCTGCTTGGCCAGGTCCTAGCCAAGGGCACTCCTGCTTGTGTATGAGGCTAGTCCAGGGTCTGCACACCCTTGGATCTTGCCCAAGGTCAAAGTCAGAGACTTTAGGGGCAGACAGACAGTGGTTGGCCAGGGGGACCACACCAGCGGCTTCCTGCCAGCCCAGAGGGAACGTTTATTCCATCCCATCTCCCCCAGCAGCTCAGCTGTGGAGGAAGGACCACCCTTAACTGGGAGACGCACCCCATCCTGGGAGCCAACGTGGGCAGTGCCCGTCTTTGTCCGTTAAAAGTCCCATTGCGTTTCTGGAAAGCCATCCAGCCAGAAGTGCCCGCATTTCAGCAGCCACCCCCTTCCTCCACCTCCCACCTTTCAGCCTATCCGCCGGGGTGGGGGGGTGGGGGGCGTGTCTTTGTGGTTTTCCTCACAGGGGCTGAGAGTTGACTCCGGCTTCCTTCGTCTCACAAACTGCCCCAGCTACACACAATCTGTCCGCCATCCGTCTTCCTGGAAGTTGAGCTTCTGATGGCACTCAGCTCTTCACCAAAGTGATCCAGGATTCCAGGACCCCCACCCCTCCCTCTGCAGGGTTCGTCGGGGGCATAGAGCGGGGCCTCTCCAGAGCAAATGGCCCACCCGGAACCAGCCCAGAAACACAAGGGGCGTTGGCCGGTGCTTGCCCCGGAGCCCCCGGGAGTCCCTTCAGTCCTGAGGGTGCAGGCGACGAAAAACGCCTCTTCTAGAAAAGACCTGAGTCGTTCGTTAGCCCTGGAGAGGGCGGCTCCCGGCGGCTGGGGGGCAGCCGTCCACAGTGCGGAGAAGGGCTGGGAACCACGGGCGATCCGGAGCCTCCCCGGGCATTGCCAGTCAGGGAAACACTTCCTGCCGCTTCTAGAACATTCCCAGGCAGTTGCTGGGAGGAGCCTCTCTCTTCCTCCGAACTGGAATCCCTCTCGAAACTCTGCCCGCCAGCTGCGGGCCGCCGCCAGCGTCTCCAGAAGCGGCGGGGCCCCTGGAGCCGCCTCGGGCCGGCCCGGGGGGGTCAGGCGAAGCCCCCGAGCCCCCACGGCTGCTACTGCAGCGGTGACAGGTCGGCTGCGATGCCCACCCACTCGGGCAGGAAGGCGGCCTCCGGCCGGAAGATCTTGAGGAAGGGCGAGTCGGGGAGCGTGAAGTTGGCCAGGTAGACGGTGTCCCCGCCGGCCAGGTAGGCCGCCCAGAAGCCGAAGGTGCCCACGGTCATGACGGTGTGATTGCACTGCGTGAGCAGCGCGAAGTCGCGCTCGGGCGAGGCCTCCACGCCGTCGCCCGCGAACACCACGTCCCCCCGGGAGGCGTTGATGTTCTCGCGGCACCAGGCCATGCCGTTGCTGACCACCACGAAGACCGGGGCCCGGTGCCGCGCCCGGAACCAGTCCATGGCCGCCTGCAGGTAGGCGCGGTCGGCCACCACGCCCTTCCAGCGCTGGGGCATGACCTCCAGGTAGTCCCCGCGCCGCACGTGGACCCCCACGAAGGCGCTGGGGGGCGCCCCGGAGCCCGGCAGGCGCAGCCGCGCCAGGAACTGCTGGGCCCTTTCCCGGACGTGGCCGTGCAGCGCGAACTCCCGGCGGATCTGCTCCCGCAGGTGGTGGTAGAAGGTCCAGGAGCAGGGGAAGCCGGACAGCTTGAGCAGCGGCTGCGGCAGGCGGGCGTACTCCTCCGACATCCAGTCGTGCAGCTCCAGGCCCTGCCAGGCCGTGCGGGCGTCCACCTGGGGCGCCAGCACGGGCAGCGTGATGCGGAACAGCGGGGCCAGGGCGGCGTGCATGGCGGGCAGCACGAAGGCCTGGCGGCCGTTGAGCCGGGCCAGGGCCAGCAGCGTGGCGTACTGCCCCATCTGGTTGCCGAGCCGGCCGTCCGGGACGATGGTCCAGGCTCCAGAGGGGGGCGCGGGGGGCGGGGGGCAGGAGGAGGCGTTGAGGGCCGCCCGGGCACCTGCCGGGCAGAAGACGGCCACCGGGGCGGCCGCCAGGGGTCGGTCTGCGCACAGGAACGACAGCCCCAGGCCGCCGCTGAGGAGGCCCCGGTAGGTGTGGAGGAAGGAGAATCCCGCGAGGACGCACAGGAGCAGGAACGTCAGGCAGAGGCGATGCCGGCCCAGGGCCCACATGGCTGCAGGTGGAAGAGGCGAGGGAGCAGGAAGGAGCTCAGAGCCGGGAAGACTGGGGGCGGGAGGCGCGGCCCCAAGGAGTGAGGGGCCTGAGGCTCTGCGCCAGGTCTGAGGGCGGAGGAGCTGGAGGCCGGGGGTCTGGGGTGGGAAGGGGATTGCCAAGATCGCAGCCCCTGCCCGTCAGGCCCGCAAGCAAATAAACCCCCCGGTGTGACCGTGTCCCAGCGCCTCTCCCAGGCGAACCGGTGTGTGAGCGGCCAGACCCGTAGGGGCGGCAGGAAGAGACTCGCCAAACAGCCGAGGGCTGGAGGCCCAGGACGGAGAAGGGATCTGGACACACACACACACACACACACACACACCCCGCCCCCAGCAGCAGGAACTGGGGTGGTGGGTGCAGGAGGCTGCTCAGGTCCAGGGCGGTTAGAGGCTGAGATGGGGGTGCCTGGCTCGGCGTGTCTGTGCTCCCCACTCACCTGAGCTCCTGGCAGGCGGCAGGCGGCCGGCGGATCCGCGGCTGGCTCGGTGTGTCCCCCAAAAGCACCGCAGGCCCCTGGTTCCCTCCCTGCCGCCGCCTGCTCCCTGCGCCGGCCTCGGCAGGCAGCGCCGGGAGCCAGGAGGGCGGGCGGACGAAGTCCCAGGCTCCCGGCCTCTACCTCTCCCAGCCCGGCCCCAGCTGCCAGGTGGAGCCCCACCCCTCCCCTCCCCGCCCCCCCTGCACCCCAGCCCGGCTGGAGTCCGCCCGCCCGCCAGCCCTGCCCTCCGGGCACCCACCGTCCCCACCCGCCACCCACCCCCTCTCCCCGGGCTTGCCGGGAGGAGGGCTCGGACCCGGGCAGCTACCGGGCCGCCCGGGAGCCACATCCTCTGCAGGACCTGCAGGAGGTGCCATGCTGGACCCGGGCGATCTGGTCTGTCCGCCTCTCCCCCTTCCCTGGGGTCCTGGGCTCCGGGCATCTGGATGCGCCCAGCGGGGCCTCGCCCCGGCCGTGCAGGGTGGGGCCCGACTCGGAGCCGGCGGGGAGGGCAGTGCTGGCAGTGGCGTCCACGGAGAACCTGTTTGCCAGGTGGGACGCGCCTCCAGCTGGCAGGGTGGGTCCCGGCCTGAGGTGTCCCTGCTCCTCCCTCCCCAGCCCCACATCCCTCAGGCACGCCCGCAGCCCCCCCTCCGGGGAGATTCTGGGTCCCCGAGGAGCTGCAGCTTTCCAGACGGGCGGGTCCTGAAGGCGCCCCTCCCGAGCGTGGGCAAGGTAAGGCGACCAGACGTCCCGATTTTTAACAGTTTGTCCCGCGGCGTTTTAAAAAAGTCCCGATTAAAAAAAAAAAAAATCGGGACTTTTTTAAGACGCCTCAGGATGCGGGACAAATTGTTTCAAAAAAATCTTTCCAAGAATCCGGACTTTGCCGAAACCGGTTTGGCTCAATGGATAGAGCGTCAGCTTGGGGACTGAAAGGTCCCAGGTTTGATTCCAGTCAAGGGCATGTACCTTGGTTGCGGGCATATCCCCAGTGGGAGGTGTGCAAGAGGCAGCTGATCGATGACTCTCTCTCATCGATGTTTCTAGCTCTCTATCTCTCTCCCTTCCTCTCTGTACAAAAACAATAAAATATATTTTAAAAAAATCTTTCCAAGAATCCGGACTTTAAAAAATATATATTATTTTTTACAGAGAGGAATGGAGAGGGATAAAGAGTTAGAAACATCAATGAGAGAGAAACATCGATCAGCTGCCTCTTGCACACCCCCCACTGGGGATGTGCCCGCAACCACGGTACATGCCCTTGACCGGAATCCAACCCGGGACCCTTCAGTCTGCAGGCCGACGCTCTATCCACTGAGCCACACCGGTTTCGGCAATTGGCACTTTTTAAAACGCTGTGGGACGAGGGACAGATGATTAAAAATCAAGACTGTCCCGCCATGCTGAGGCCAGTATGGCTCAGTGGATAGAGCGTCGGCCTGCGGACTGAAAGGTCCTGGGTTTGATTCCGGTCAAGGGCATGTACCTGGGCTGCGGGCACATCCCCAGTGGGGGCTGTGCAGGAGTCAGCTGATCCATGTTTCTCTCTCATCGACG